AACCTTTCCTCCTTTGAGGCTCATGCAGTTCATATCTACTACTGTCCTTCAAACACCTAAACACTCACTTCCTCAGCCTACTCACCTCCTATGAGTAACTGTTCCACCCCACTTCAACCACATACAAAGATAGTCATACCCTTGATCTTCTCATCACCCATAAACTCACCAATCTCCATGTTCAAGAATTCCAAAATCCACTTAACTCACCATACTCCACTGGATTTCAAGTCTCCACCTGATTTCCCTTGCCAAAACATGTTCTTTGTCTTCAGCATGACTTTCAATCACTTGACACCCTCAATTCTCTCTCCCAGGTCATCATCCTTGAACTAGTCCGTCTTTCCTCTTTTCCCCATCTTGACTTTTTGGTGAACCGGTTCAACTCTACATCATCCTCTTCTTTTGAGTCTCTAGCCCTATCATCATATTTTTTATTGTACTTTGCCAAGCCTCAGCCTTGGATCACTTCCATCATCTGCCACTTTTGTGCCTACACACACACTACTGGACAAAAGTGGAGAAAATCATGCAATTGTTCTGATTAGGTCCAGCAAAAATTTATGTTACACAACTTCAATGCTGGGCCCTCACTGATGCTAGGAAATACTATTATACTTTCCTTATCAACTCATTATTTTTTTTTCCCACAGTAGTTCTTCTAAACCTTTTCATCCCTACTCAAACATAACATTCCTCTGCCTGCCCCCTCCCTCTCAATTGAGAATCTTTCCTCATATTTTACAGGAAAAAGAAAGGAGGTTATCTACCAAGAAAGCCTTTTTCTACCCTCTTCTTTATTCCATATCACTCATATGCCTTCTGCCATTATCTCCTTCTTCACCTGTATCTCACATGAAGAGTTGGCCTTACTTACTTACAAAGGCTAACCCCTCTACCTATACAAGTGATCCCATTCAATCCTATCTCCTCCAACCAATTGCCCTTTCTATCATCAGATAGCAATAACTTATTTTCAGTTTTTCCCTATCTACTAGTTGCTTCCCTAATGGCTACAAACTTACCCATCCATCCTCATCCACTCAGAGGAGAGTTAATGCAAAGGCTCAGAAAAAGAAGTTTCATGTGCAAGGGACAGCAACTAGGTTACCATTGTTAGATCTTGGAGTGCATGGAGGGGAGCAATGTATAAAAAAGACTGTGAAGTTAGGGAGGGGAGCAGGTTATGAAGAGCCTTAAATGCAAAACCAAAGCCTTTTTATTTGATTCTGGTGGTAATACAGAGCAACGAACCTCTCTACTGCCCTTTGGGGCTTTCTTAAATTTAAAGCTTCTGAAAATGTTATATCATGACTCATTGCTCTATATTCATTGTTTTTTTATGATTTGGGGGGGGGGGGTTAGGCAATGGGGTTAAGTGACTTGCCCAGGGTCACACACCTAGTAAGTGTTACGTGTCTGAGGCCATATTTGAACTCAGGTCCTCCTGAGGGCCAGTGCTCTATCCACTGTACCACCTAGCTGACCCTTTTCATTGTTAACTGCAATAAATATCATTTTTAAAAAGATGGGCTGTCATTCAAGGTTTGGGTCAGTACTGTGTAATTTCCTATGATTGTTCAGTTCTGGACCCAATTCATTGTGTATTTGCAACATGTATTCACAATGAATCCATTATTAAATAAATAAATATTGAATACCTATTGGATATGGTGTGATTAAACTCTGACAGGGAGAATGTAAACTTTCAACATAAGCAGTCTTTTATTGATGACAAACTAGTGTGAGCTTGATCCACTTTACTGAAGCCTTCAAAAATATATATAGAAAATCAGCCCATTTAGTTAGCATTTTTTTAACCCTTTGCCTTTCATAAAGGGAAAGAGGAGTTCAACAAGTTATCTTTACATTAGTTAGTGTAGAAAAACCAAATGATATCTATTTATCCATTCATTTAATCAAAGGAATTATTATTAATTTCATTTATGTACTCTGTAACATATTTCTTAAGAAAATATTTCTGTACATACTTCTATATTTCTTAAGAAATATAGATTAAATATAAATTTTGACCTCTGAAATCTTGCTAGATATCTTGGGGTTTATGGGCTAAATTTCTTTTTTAAGGAACATGCCTTAGATCTAAATCACTCTGGTCCTCATTGATTGAACAACAATAGGTGCCAGCCTAAGCCTTACTGGATTATTATTTAGGTTCTGATGGATCAGAGTGAGTATAAATAGCACTTGTTTTGGTTTTGGCCAGAAACCCTGAGGGTCTTCATCTCCCAGACTGATTATTTTTGTTTTGTTTTGTTTTGTTTTTGACTGGATGAAAGAGGCCACTTTTGCCTCATTTCTTACCTAGCCTTAGTCATTGAATGGGCATTGCTTCAGTCAAACTGAGACCTGTTGTAAAGACCTTAGCTTAAAAGGGCCAAGGTCTCCCACTGCATCCAGGGCCATCTCTAGTCATCCTAATCTATATCTTGCTACTAGACCCAGATGGCTCCAGAGGAGATAGTGAGGCTGGTGACCTTGCATTGCCTTCCCTCCCTTACTTGTGAGTCTTGCATCATCTTCCTGATGTCATGGTCCTCTTTGAGAATAAAGGACAAACAACAAAAATGCCTTGCTCTTAGCACAATGCCTGGCAAATAGTAGACACATAATAAATGTTTATTGACTGACTATCTTCACAACAAACCTGGGGGTTTGGTGTTATTATTAACCCTATTTTACAGTTGAGGAAATTGAGTCAGGCAGAGGTTAAATAACTTATCCAGGGTCACACAGCTAGTATGTGTCTGACACTGTATTTGAACTTAAGTAATCCTGACTCCAGGTGCAACATTCTATCTACTGTTGCTACCTAGCTGCCTATAGTACATGCACTAGAGAGTAGTGGTTCTAGGGGGATGGTTATAAAACATAGGTAGACCTAGTCCTCTTTTGAATTCCTCCTATTATATCCTTGCATGATACTCAGCTTCCCTCAATAAAGAGGATTTGATATTCTCTGATACAGAAATCTTTCCAATACATCTTCTCTAATTAGTCATTTTAGTGGTTTGTGGGCTTAAAATTTCATTTTTGTGTTCAATCATTCCATTGTGATAATTCTACCTACGTCCTACTCCTAGCAGATTGATATAAATGTTTTCTTTTTCTTTAGTTCAATTGCTGTTTAAATGTGAAAACTAAATGGTAAAAAGTGAATAATATTTGACTTGGTTAGAAATCTTAATTATCTAGTATATGGGCCTACTGTCAGCCAACTGTCTAAAAGTCTATTTTCATTATCATCAGATGCTTACAGGAAGTAAACAAAAAATCAATGTTATTACAACTGAAAAAAAAGACTGAAACAAGACTATATTTTTTATAAAAACTATTTCTGGAAGATAAGTTTAAGAAGTCTGGTGACAAAACTTAATTTTGAACCTATTAATTAGCAGAAGAAAAGCAAATGTTAATATTTGTATATATGCACCTTTCTACTCATAGTGCCTTACACAGTTCCTTTACAGGCAATGAGTACAAACTTAAAAGATGCTCCAATATTCACACACACACACACACACACACACACACACACACACACACACACACACACACACACACACTATGCCTTTCCAAATATAAAACTCATAGATTTAGATCTAGAGGGATCTTAGAAGACAATAGGTTAAATACTCTTATTTTACAGATGAGGAAATTGAGGCAAAGTGACTTTAGAGTCATACAACTGCTAACGATCTGAGGCAAGATTTGAACTCAGGACTTTGTGCCGTCAGATCTAACATTGTACTATATTATTTTGTCTCTAAAATATTCTGAAATAAAAATAATATTTTAATGCTAAAATGTTTTGTGATATTGATGAAACTGTAAATCTGTAGTTATCAAGAGTAACAATGATATTGTTCAGGCAAGCTTTTGATATTTATTGCTTACTTGCTTTCTTTAATGAATAAAAGTAACTCAGACACTGTATTAATATATCTATTGATTATACTAGTTTGCAAATTTCTTAAAAACCAAGACACCAAGCACACTATATAAATGGCAAATAAGCTTATTTCTATTTCATACCACCATAATTTCTCTTGTTTCTTAAATCTTCTTTAGCTAATGGTGAACAGAACTATGACTAAAGCAGGACAATCATGGGGCACCAGAATTGAGAGCATGCAAAAACAAAAAACAAACAAACAAACAAAAAAGAATTAATTTAAAATTTTGTTCAATTTTAGTATATAACACAGTGTCTGACACACAGTCAGCACTTAATAGTTGAAATTCCTATTGTTGTTGTTTTTAATAAGTTCTTGTGTTTTCTCTTTGTCATTGCTTTTACTGCTTTGGCAGCATAGGAAGTAGTTACGGAGAAAAAAAACAGTGTCTCTAGCATTTGCTTATAAGTGTTGTTTCATGGCATACCCTAATGTTTGAAAAAGATTTTTGTTTTTTTTCTTTTTTTTAATTTGATATTTTGCATCTCATTTTTAAGGTTTTTACTTTTAAGTAAAATTCATTTGTTAATTAAAATATAGTTATTATGTATTAGTTATGTTAATTTGATTGATGGATAAAATGTTTTCATTAATGAAAAAGTAAAAACCCTTCAGTGCACTTCCTAATATAAGTGTGTGTCTTTGCTTGCTAGCTATGTGATCATGGATAAATGACCTCCCTGAGTCTCAGTTTCTCCATCTATAAAATTAGGATATTAATAGCTATGATTTTAATGAAGATATCTAGAAAAGAACTTATAGATCATCTAGTAGAAATCAGATTCAGAAACTGAAGGCCAGAGAACTTAATTGCTTTGCTCCATGTGTAGTAAATACCAGAGCCAGTATATGACGCTAAATTCAGTTCTCTGTACTACACCCCACAGAATTGTTATTATTACTGTAAGATGCTGTAGAACAAAAAGTTTAGGAAATGTACAAATTCCTTCTACTGTGGTTTAGGTTTTACAACTCTAGGTCTTTCACATCAAATAACATTATTTTTGGTTTTCTTTTTTTCAGGATTACAATGATGAAATTCGCCAGGAGCAATTGCGTGAGTTATCTTATTTGAATGGCTCAGAGGACTCAAGTCGTGGAAGAGGTATTAGAGGAAGAGGCATCCGGGTACCTCCTACAGCTCCTTCAAGGTACATTTGTTCATTCTGCAATCAAAAGAGAATTTAAAGACTGACACATACTCACTACATGCCTCTAGACAAATCTCTATGACTAAAATTGCAGTCAGTGGTGTAGATTCCAGAGAAGCTAGCAACCTGCATTAGGAGAAGGAGTTTCCTGACACAGGGTTTCCCTGTATAAATGAAATCACAAATCCAATCTCGGTCTTGCATCTATACATGCAGTGATGTTCCAATCTGTAGCAGGTTCAGGCTTTCTAATGAGACCTAGCAAAAAGATTCAGAAGTCGTAGACTAAGGACACTCCTTGCAACTGGCAGATCACTTTCATCTCCAGGGATTCCACACCATATGGGGAGGTGAAAAAATTATAAAATGCATACTATATGTCAGTAAAAGGGCAGCTAGGTGATGCAGTGAATTAAGCACTGGGCTTAGAATTAGTAGCACTCATCTTCAACAGCTCAAATCTTGCCTCAGATGCTTATTAGTTGTGTGATCCTGGGCAAGTCATTTAACCCTGCTTTCCTCAGTTTCCTTATCTGTACAATGAGCTAGAAAATGAAAGGGCAAACCACTCCAGTATCTTTGCCAAGACAATCCCAGATGGAGTCATGAAGAGTTGAACATGACTGGAAAATGACTGAACAACAGATGGGCCGGACACTAGCCTAAGCTCTGAGGATATAAAAGCAGGCCTCTACGAACTTGCATTTTACTCAGACATACTATGTATGCCCCCAAACTATGTGTGTCAATCCTGCTGTTGGATTTTTAAGCTCCTATTATGTATCTGGAACTTCAATAGGTATTAGAGGTTCAAAGACAAATAGGAAATAGTCTCTACCCTCAAGGACTTTATATATGGGCAGCTAGGTGATACAGTGGAGAGAGTGACAGGCCTGGGGTCAGGAAGACTCCTCTATCTGAGTTCAAATTCAGCCCCAGACTCTTATTAGCTGTGAGATCCTGGCAACATCCTGTTTGCCTCAGTTCCTTATCTGTAAAATGAGCTGGAGAAGAAGACATCAAAACATTCTAGTATCTTTGCCAAGAAAACCCCAAAAGGTATCACAAAGAATTGGACATGACTGAAAAACAACTCAACATTCAACATATTCCGGACACTGTGCTAAGAGTTCTGCAAATATCTCATTTGATCCTCACAATAATCCTGTCTTATAGATGCTACTATGATCCCCATTTTACAATTGTGGAAACTGAGACAGACAAAGACTAAGTGAATTGCCCAGGTTACACAGCTAATAAGTATCTGAGGCCAGAATCAAACTTAGTTCTTCCTGACTCAAGTCCTAGTACTTTATCCAGTGCACCCTATAGCTAGCTAACATAACCATATCAGGGGAAAAATTCTTGCTATGCCATGCCTTATTGTGCTAGGAATGCCAGTAAAGATATGGTAGTAGGAAGAACATTGAATTTGTTTGTATCTGAAACCGCTGCTGAATCAGTTTAGACTTAATAAATATATTTACAGAAGCAATTTCAGAAAGCCAAAAGAAATGCTCTTTCATATATTATTGCTGAAACCACTTAGAAATTCAGATATATTTCACATGGGGGGGGCGGTGTATACTGGTGTTCAGGGAAGAGTAGTACCTCTGTTGTAAGGACTGCCAAGCCCTTTGCATGACTGCTTTCTATCTTTGGTGTTCACTTGCTATCAACTCTCATTTGTGACTCCAAGAACCTGTAGCGTGCTCAGCAGCCATATTTCAATAAACATTCCAGCAGATGTGCTAAACCAGCTTGAGGAGAACTGAGGGGCATTAAACCTGTCAGTGAGTTGGTGGTGTCTACCCCAAGCATGTGAAGACTTCCCTTGCTGGAATGGGTAGATGAGAATAATTTATTCCAATGGCCACGAAGGAAGCTAAAGCAGGCATTGTGGAGTGCTTGGAGCTTGATTAGATATTGAAAAAGCCAAGGTCATCCACTGCTTTCTGGGACATTGCCAGTAGTCTTGACTTTTGTCTTTTCACTGGACTCCAATGATTCTGGACTCCAATGACTTGAAGAGGGAGTGAGGCTGACAATTTCATGCAGCTCTGCATCACTTCAATCCAATATATGCATGAGTCAAAATACATCACCAATACTATTTTACAATTTTCATTCACCTCAAAATCCTATGTTGTGGATAAGTAATAAAGCACCAGATGTAGATACACTGGGAGTTGTAGTCATTACCCTGAGCACAGGTGGCACAGGCCATAGAGTTATCTTCTCAATGGACTGAAGGAGCAGTGGGATTTAGCAGCCCTCTGCGAGTATGAATAGCCTTTTTAAAGGACCACATTGATCACTTGCTAGCATAAGGAAAGGGCTAAAAAGGGCACCCTAAAAATTGTCTGCTTCACCTAACCTAACCCTGGATTACTTACTGAGGCATGTGGGGGTCCTACTCTGCAGATGAAACACAAAAAATGAGCAAAAACTTTTTCCACTCACTGTTGGTACATGGAATGTTCTCGTGCTTATGGACAACACAAAATCCAGTAGACATGAAAGACAAAAAGCTCTTGTTGTGAGAGAGCTCAGCAGGTATTGTATCCAAATAGCATCCCTGAGTGAAAGAAGATTGGCAAATTAAAGTCAGTTTACCAAAGTCAGAGCTGACTGGCTCATGACAATGCAATTGCCACTTGGAGGAATGCACCATGTCACCGTCATCAGTGTTTATGCTCCCACCCTGACAAAGTGTGATGAGGTCAAAGAAAACTTTATGAAGACCTAAAGACCATCATCATCAGTGTGCCAAAACAGGATAAGCTTGTAATTCTGAGTGACTCTAACACCAGAGTTGGCACAGATAATCAGACATGGCAGGGAATCCTTGGGAGGAATAGTCAGAAACAGCAACAGAAATGGTTACTTGCTACTGAAGATTTGTGTGTCTCATGACCTTCTCATCACAAACACTATCTTTCATTTACCTAAAAGCAATAGAACTCCATGTATGCACCCTCATAACAAATATTGGCATTTAATGTCTATTAAATGTCACTGTAAAAAGAAGAGACCCATAGGATGTGAGAATAACAAAAATGATGTGTGGTGCAGAGTGCTGGACCAATCATAGGCTTATCCTCTCTAAGTTAAATATTCACATTCAACACAAGCAGTGGCCCCAAGGCAAGATGACTACCAGAAGACTTAATGTCAACTGATTAGAGTGCTTCTCCTTATATCAACATTTGTTGCTAACCTGGAGAGAAAGATGAGCCAATACACGGTTTGCAACGGTGTAGCAGAAAAGCAGTGGGCAGCTCTCAAAGATTTGGTATACAGTATTGCATTTACTCATCTGGTACAGGACACTCACAAACATCAGGACTGATCTGACAAAAATGACAGGTGAAATTCAGAAGCTGTTAAAATGAAAAACAAGAATTCCACAGGACTTACCAGGCAAGATAGTTTATCTGTCTCTAAAATGTCAGCATTTAACTCCATCAAAAATAAAGTGAAAGTTAATCTTGGAGAAATGTAGGATTCTTGGCTCAGTAAAAAGGCATATGTAATTGTGCCTTTATGTTTTACGTTGATGGTAACAATCCAAATCACTTTTTGATGCCCTAAAGTCTATTTATGATCCAAAGACCTATGCTACATCTCAAGTACTCAGCCCTGATGGAGCCACATTGATTAGTGATAAAGGCATGATCCTGGAAAGATGGGCTGAACACTTTCATAGTATTCACAAAAAAACAATGCTGAAGCTACTAACCATATATCTCAAGTTGAAGCCAGTTCCTCTCTAGCTGAATTTCTAACTGAAAAAGCAGTTTTGAACACAATTAGTCTAATATTGTATTGAAAGTACCTGATTCTGTTCTGGCTGATGTTTACAAAGCAGAGGACTCATTGCTCATACAAAAGGTAACTGAAATCTTCTGGATTATATGGCAAGAGGAGGCTGTCCCCCAGGAGTTGAAGGGTGCCTGTGTTTTCCATCTCTATGATGGAAATGGAAATGGCTTGTCCAGTGAAAATCACAGGGGAGGTCATTCTTTTACTCATTGCTGGAAAGATTCTTGCCAAAGTTCTCCTAAGAGGCTAATTTTTCACCTGGAAGATAGTCCTCTGCCCAAAAGCTTGTGTGGCTTCAGAAAAAGAACAATCGATGTGGTATTTGCTACCTGACAACTCCAGGAAAAATGCCAGGAGCAGAAGAGAGGTCTGTATGTAATGTTTTTTGATCTGACCAAGGGCTTTGATACTGTCAGTTATGAGGGATTAGGGAAGATCCTGGCCAAATGTGGTTGTTCAGAGAAGTTCATCAATATCATATGCCAGTTCCAACACAGTATGCTTGCACAGGTTCTGGATAATGGATAATGCTCCTGCGCTTCACTAGTCATCAGTGGAGTGAAGCAGGGATGTGTGCTTACTCCCATTCTTTTTAGCCTGATGTTTTCAGTGATGTTGTCCGACACTTTCAACAAAGACAAAAATGGCATCAAGGTCAGCTACCAGGTTAATGGTAAATTATTTAACTTGAAAAGGCTGCAAGCCAAGAGAAAGATGGAGGAAGAGTTGGTGAATGACTTGCTGTTCACAAATAAGTATGAACTCAGTGCAGCCTCTGAGTATAGATTAATTCTCTGCCACCTGTGCTAATTTTGGACTGAAAATCAGTGCCAAGAAAACAAAAGTTCTCCACCAGCCAGCACTGCACCATCCAGTTACATAGAACCATCAGTTACAGCAAATAGAGAATTTCTGAATTCTGTGGATAAGTTCACTTACCTTGGCTATATGCTTTCCAAGGTTGTATACATAGATGAGGAGGTTGATGCATACATTGCCAGAGCTAACTCAGTGCTTGGAAGGCTCCAAAGGAAAGTGTGGGAGAGAAGAGGTATTAGGCTGCCTAACAAACTGAAGGTGTTGCAGAGCCATTGTGCTGACCTCCTTGCTGTATGCCTGTGCAACCCTGAACAGTATACTAGCACCATGCCAAGTAACTGAATTGTTTCCATTTG